AAACATCTAAAGAATATGGGAAAACTCCACAAAGAAGGTGTTTGGGTGCCTCACGAACTCGCCGATGATCATCGTTTCCAACGTGTGAGCATTGCTTCGTCTCTTCTGGCGCGTAATGCGCGTGAACCATTTTTGGACAGCATTGTCACCGGTGATGAAAAATGGATTCTCTATGCGAATATTAAACGCCCAACACAATGGCTCAGTCCTAGACAAAAACCACTTCCGACCTCAAAACCTGCACCCTATCCGCAGAGAGTGATGCTTTGCATTTGGTGGGACATCAAAGGAGTAATTCATTTCGAGCTCCTCAATCCACAGCGAACTGTCAATGCAGAGATCTATAGTCGGCAACTGGATCGTTTAAATCAAGCCCTTCATCAGAAACGCCCTTTACTCGTCAATCGGAAAGGTGTTCTTCTCCATGACAATGCACGTCCACATGTGGCACGTTTGACGCAACACAAGATTACGTAGTTGGGTTGGGAAGTTCTCCCACACCCCCCATATTCTCCAGATATGGCACCACCAGATTATCATCTTTTTCGTTCGCTGTAACACCATCTTAATAGGAAAACGTAAGCAAATGTGAAAGGTGTTAAAAAATAAATTGCGTTTGTTAGTCTACATGATTTCTTTAGTTATTATACGTTTGTTAGTCTACATGATTTGTTTTATTATTATACCTTTGTTAGTCTACTTTGTTCATTTGGTTATTATAAGTTTGTTAGTCTACTTTGTTCATTTAGTTGTTATAAGTTTGTTAGTCTACTTGTTTGTTTAATTAATGTTTTTTTTTCTTTTTTTAGTTATATGTTGTGGCTTATAATTGTTTTTCAAGTTTGTTGATATGTTAGCATATTAGTTGTATTTTCAAACGATTTTCATAATTTTTGTGATAATTTAATAGTTACTGTTTTATATATATATGTATATATGATACACTTATATTTATATTAAAGGAGCTTTAAATGCATAGTGTTTTTTAGTTATTTTGTTTCTTATCATTTAGTTAATAGCTGTAACTAAGTTTTTCTTCATTGTAAATATTTCCGACAAGGTTAAAAAAAAAATAATCTCTTTACTGTTGCTATGGGAATGAATGTTATTTATTTTTACGGCTAAGATCACTGATGTGAAAAAAAAAACTCATTTTTTTTCCAGTTCATAATCTCTTTATACTTTACTTACTTTGCTTCCCGCGTCGGAACAAAACATTAGAGCACGACGTATTAAAGACAGGGATAAAAGGAATAAAACAATAGAAGTTTCAAAGAGATACCCTGGGTTTAAGTACGATGAGCCGAAGTCGACTAAATCTGTTAGACAGTAAAAAGATTGAAATCCTCTTGTTCACCCATTTCAAATTCTTTACATCAGTTGTCACTACAGGTTTACTGACGATGATCCCTAATGCGCTGTCTCCGCAAAGAAGATAGCGAACCTGAAGCCTGACAAAATGTCAGCTTTTTTCCGGACGTTTTCTGAGTTAGTGACATTTTGTTTCCTGTGCTCTAAAGCGTAAGAGAAGTCGCCTCGAGCCCTGTATCATTATCCATTTCACACAAGCGAGAGAAAAATCATAAGCTTGTTTTTAAGCTCGAGTGTACTACATGTACGTATCCATCATGAAATAGCAAGTGACGGGGATTTGGAGGCCTGGCGGAGGAAAAACTGGTTATTTATTAACTTAATTTAGAAAATTCCAAGAAAAACGTACATCTTGTATGATGGTTTAAATTATGTTTGTTTGTTTTTTTGCGTTGTATATAACGAATCCGTAAAAGGTAGTGGGTTGAAATATTCTTTTTTAATCTTTCAAGCTATCCCCTTTACGAAAATTAAAAACATGGCTTGTTAGTATGAGAGTCATATTCGTAATTGTATTAATACATTTGACCTTCAACAGCATTTTGATCTGCATATTGAATGTAATGAATTCAGCGCTCATGAAAGTTAACGTTATTACGAAACTAGGCCTATACAAGCAAAAACCACATCTCGTGTCTTCATCCCTTTGTATTTCGTGCCGAACTCGTGGGGTCGCGTGATTGGATTCGTTTGATTGAACGTCCATCTCAACAGCAGCTAACTTACCGCAACTGGCTGTTATTATATTCAGTTTAGATGGCTTATTATTTACCAGCATCTAACGTCAATTGAACTAATATTCCCAACGTTTACATTCCTAGGAAACCTTACATGCGCAGCTGTCGAAGTTGTCAAATTATAAGGTTCACAGTAGCTCGTTTAACTTACAATAATGTCAGAGTGATGGGATGAAATATAAATCTACAACCATATATCACTCATAATTTGATGTTTGTTCATTTGCACAATTTTCAGAAAAAAAAATTGTTTATGTCGATCAGGATAGTAAAGATACATCACAGGCCTGTCGGTATATCATGTTTATTCTGACAACGGTACCTAGATACCTGGTCATCAACACGTACACCACTATTTGTTATTAAAATTAAATATTAGGTCGTCAAGAAATGAATGTCGCTTCTTTTTTTCAGATGATAAAACCCGAACAACTTATATATCAAAACAAAACGTTTATTAAGTGAAATGGTCTCCATTCTTACCGATCATGCTTTTCCATCTTAAAATCAGGTTGTTAATTCCCTGATTAAAGAAATCATATGGATTTGAAGCCAAAAAAACATGATTTGTTAGTCTACATGATTTGTTTAGTTATTATACTTTGTTAGTCTACATGATTTGTTTAGTTATTATACCTTTGTTAGTCTACATGATTTGTTTAGTTATTATACCTTTGTTAGTCTACATGATTTGTTTAGTTATTATAGGGTATAATAACTAAACAAATCATGTAGACTACTAAAGGCATATTAACTAAACAAATCATGTAGACTAACAAAGGTATAATAACTAAACAAATCATGTACACTAACAAAGGTATAATAACTGAACAAATCATGTAGACTAACAAAGGTATAATAACTAAACAAATCATGTAGACTAACAAACGTATAATAACTAAACAAATCATGTAGACTAACAAACGTATAATAACTAAACAAATCATGTAGACTAACAAAAATATAATAACTAAACAAACCATATGGACTAACAAAGACATATTAACTACACAAATCATGTGGACTAACAAAGGTATAATAACTAAACAAATCATGTAGACTACTAAAGGCATATTAACTAAACAAATCATGTAGACTAACAAACGTATAATAACTAAACAAATCATGTAGACTAACAAAAATATAATAACTAAACAAACCATGTAGACTAACAAAAATATAATAACTAAACAAACCAT